ATATGCACACTTTCTAAACTCTGCAATTCCCTGGAGGGGATAAGCCAGAACTGAAGCCATTCTGAGTTCCTAAACTCTTACAGTTTGGATAAAAATCATACAAAAATTAAAACCACACCTAATTTTGCTTAAAAAACACAAGTCATACACTTCGAAAATGAAGTATAACTTACTTTGTATAACAATAGTCAGGGCAGTGTACATACACAGCTGTTTGACCTGCTCCACATAAGTCTCTACAAGAGACAAGTTAAAGGTCTATGAAAGCAAAGGTGGTAATTCCTTACAGTTACTTTATGATTAGTCAGAAATTATTTAAGTTCAGGATTTGTTTAGCACCAGAAGCAGGTGGGGCTTGCTGCAGTTAGATGTTTCCATAACAATACAGGAGAGCCAATTAAAAGCCAATTAGTCATGGACATTACTTTAAGGTCCAGTACTTTGCAAACTCTCCCTCTTCCATTTTCCTCCTCTGGAGCTGCCCATTATGCTCAGCACAAAGGCTCTGAAATGACTGTGTGCTGTTTGCCTGTCTCCATGGAAGCTTTGCCACACTGCACCATACACAAATGCTTCCCAGGCACCTTCAGCACTGCTTCCCCCTCTGATCTTTGCCCTAAACAAATGTGCTGTTTATTCACTCTTCTTCTCAGTTATGAAGACCCATTGGATGCTGTATGAATACTAATGAGAAAAGAATTAAACCTGTGTTTAAGAATGAGTGAGGATTCCTGCTTTCAGTATTTACCATGACAGCTCTTCTTTGAATCCCAAAACCTCTGTCATTTGGAAATTAAGAGTGCAGATCTGGCATTAAAGAAAATAAAGAGCTTCCAGACAGGAAAAAAAAATGACCTAGTGGTTAAATCACATGATGATAAATCAGGAAATCATGGTGTTTCATTGTTCTGCTACCAAAGAACACCACTGTGACTCCATCCATGCCTCCATCATCTCCCTTGAAAACAAGGATGAAATCCTGTGTACTCCAACAATGAGAACTAAGCAACCTTAAGAAATTAGACCTTCTGTACTGTGTAGATGAATCTACTTTACAGGCCAAAAACCAGAGAAAATCCAGTCAGAAATGTGACATACCCTCCAAAGTGAATGCAGGATCCCCTGTCAATGCAAAACTGAAAGAAGGAAACAGCCTCTTTCTTCCAATAGGCAGGAAAGATCCATTAATATCCTCAATGCTGTTCTTGTTCCATGAGACATTTCTGATTAGAACCTGCTGCAATCCATCTCATGTCTCGTTTCTAGCTAGATTAAAGGAGTGCCAAATTTTGCCCTTGCAGTCACATGAGCAGTAATAGCAGCCCCTTTGCCCCTCACAATTTCTGTGTGGCCAAAAAGCTCTCTAGCTCTGCCTCCTGATCTTTGGCACCAAACTTGGCAGATTACTGCCTTAAACTGGGTTTGGACAACATGATTGAAAACCAAAGGTGTTTATAGATCCTTCTTTAGGATGTCTATTGCACGGACACCCCCCTCCTTTTACCTCTGTCACTAGGCTGTGGGTCCTGTCCTTTCCTGTCACCTTCCCTGGGCACTACTGTTGCTAAGCCAGTGCCCAGCATCACATTATACATCACTTGTGGCAAGACATACCAAAACAACAAATGTCCTGTTGTATAATTTCCAACAGATGCTTGACATTATGTAGTAGTTGATCAAATATAAAATCCCTTGGGTTTTGTTACGTTTCCATACCTACTCATGCTGCTGCTTGCTTTTCTTCTTCACTTCTATCTGGCTTTGAAATTCCACTTGCCTGGCCACATGTTCCTTCACAGACACTTAAAAATCTGTGCTCTTCCTAAACATCTTGATATCATTTCCATGCATGGGTCAAGAAAAGAAGGCTGTATCTTCATCTGCCTTTTTAGTTAGGTGTAAGGTACACTAATTTTGCTGTACTGCTTCTGTTGAGGAAACTGAGGCACAATGCAATTTGATGTAAATGATAGAGCCTGTGCCAGAACCAAGATTTAAATTCTGGAGCACCTGGGTCTGGAAACCCTAACTGTAAACATTAATTTCTTTGAAGTTTCCCACATGAACATCTCCAGAGAAGACAGACAGTGCTGCGTTTAATCCATACATTGGGCACAGCCCTAACAAAACTCACTGCCTGTGTGGGTCCCTCAATTTCACCACATTAGGACAGAGCTGATGAAGTCAAGAAAATTGCTGTAGAATAATCAGTTTGTACTTTCTATTTCATCAACTAATTATAAGTTCCTTTACAAGAACTACAGAGAAGTGAAAGTTAGTATTTCAGTCCGTCGTGAATCTCATCGAAGTAGAGAGTCTTCTATTCTAAATCCTGAATTATAAGGGAGGGATTGTTTTTTCCCCATCAAACTTCTTAATGTTCCTTGGACTGCACACTTAGTTGACACCAGACTGCCAGATGTCAGAAATTAATACCACCAGCAGATCTCCTGATAAACATCACAGCCTTTACCCACACTTGCTAGCAGAGATTGTCATGATGATTGACTACTCTCAATGTTTTATGGATTAAAATCTTAACCAACTCCACCACTGCAATGAACAGTCACCATCTCTGCATTATGTGAACTAACACTAGAAATCTCTGGGATCCAAACAGATCTAAGTTGTACTGAAGCTCGAAACTAAGAACAACCTGCACAATACGAGCTACCGTGGTCAAGAAATTGTAAAGGATTCTTACTGAGTACCAGACCCAAAAATATTTTTGTTTCCAAGATGAAGGAAATTTATATTTTATCTTCCTGAAATATGCCATATTCTTGTGAAAGGAATATCCCACAGTAGCTCTCCAGAACACTGAGCTCTGTGATGCTTCCCAGAGCCCCATTCGGAATGCCCAGGCTTAACAGGGTGTTTGACTTGTGCACTACTCTACAATTATTTTTCCCAGAACTAATGGAACTGAATGACTATCCAGGCTCCATTCTGGGGACTATTTCTCTTGACTTTAGGGGAAATCCAATTGTTGCTAAGCTAAATAATGCCATAAATTGCAGATCAAATAGGTCACTAGTTTTTCATGCAGACAGCTCTACTCAAGGGGGTAAAGCATGTGCTGGTTGCTAAGCAAAGTTTAGCTCAGCTTCGGCCCTACAGATGTTTTCAAATACTGACTTCTGTTGTTAAATTCATGATCTTGTTTTCTTCATATACTTTCACAAGCACCAAGGGAACTAACTTGGTGTGGCTCTTGAGGAGCTGAGAGCAGCTGTGGCAGATTAAACAAAAGCTCTCTGCAATGCTGATCTCTAACTTGGCATCAGCTGTTCTATTACTGCAGCTGAAGTTCTGTTTCTAGCTGTGGCTGAATTTACAGGCAGGAAAAATGTCAAAGATTTGTACAAACGTGATATACAACTTGTGTCAGGAGGACCAATTTGCTGAGTGTTTTAACTCTCACTTTTTGTTGACTGTTTAATGGATTAAGTAAAAGGAATGTTCAATATTCACCAGAACAAAATTAATCTTAGGAACAATTCTGATGAAACTTAATTTACTGTAAAACTCCTGCATTTGGTTTGTTTTCTTCCTCATGTAGATTCTTTGTGAACAACATGACAACTTCTGCTGGCAATATGTGTTTCTTACTATAAGAGTCTAAATTTCTAAAATTCCTCATAGCTCTGATTCTAGTAATGTTTTATGGAAATACATTGCATATGGTGTATATTGTATGAAAAAACAAGACTGCTAAAATAAATACAGTATTATGGCTTGCCTTTCAAATTCTGAATAGACCCTATTTAGTATGCTGCATGTAAATAGGAGTCACAGAATTAATTTTATTAACTATATTGTGTACTTTTCTTGTGTTTCCTCTAAAATAGCAATCCTGCCTTTCAGTACATCCCTAGGTAGGAGAACCAAGCTGAACCAAAACAAATGTATTCCAATCCAAAGACAGTAGCAGCTCCAATCATGACTCATTTCACATTCCATTCTTCCTACCAAAATAAGTATTGTATTAGATTATTAGCTATGTTATTAGGTTCTTTTTTTTAGTGTTTGTTGTGTGTACAGTAAGAGTTTGTTTTGCTACATCAATCATTTGTACTGTCTTACATGCTTGGGTCTTTTCTGGGTTGGGGTAGAACATTTTCAACTCAACTACAAGTAAATACATTGGAATTTTTTCCTCTAACACATAGTACTCTGCATTTCTTTGAAGGCACTCCCCCAGTGCTGCCCACTTGGGTAACATTAGATTCCTCAGTCAGAACAACCATTATCCTTCATTGAACTAAATTACTATTTTCAAACTACATTTTGTTGGCAAGCTTAAGGACCCGTGTTCATCAGTTACATTGCCTGATCTGTGTACCATCCCTTGAAAGCCATTTCATTTAAAACACAGAGATGTAATATCCTCTCATTCCACTCAGAAAAAAACACACTTTCAAATGAGAGTGTAGAAGGCCATTGCTGACATGCTTCTTACCTGTAACCCACTGGTTTCCACGTGTTGCTGTTTCTGGATCATTCTTTTTGACCTTTCAATCTCTGGCATTGCTTCATCTCCAGTACTCAGAAGACTTGTATCAAAACTGCCTGACATTTCCCAGTCCATGTGACCAGGTGCAGGACTTTGTCTCCCAACCCTTATGGGTGTTGTGGTGCCCATGGTAAACATGAAGCTTGTGCTGCCATGTACCTGCTAGTGGAGCAGGGAGAGTTTATGGCCAGAGCAGACTGCCCCATAGATGGTTTCTAGATGTCTTTGACCTGAACTAAAAGTTTTAAGTACTGTTTAATTCTTAATATCACGAGAACAGCTGAAATCCACCTTCCTTTGACTGTTGGTGAAGCAGCTGGAGGCAGCCCTCGGGGGTCCAGTTTGCCAGGCAGAGGTGGATATCCCTGTTCTTCAGAGCAAGTCTGGACAACTGCATTCCATCAAAGCCATCATGTGCCACATGCATTTATCTTGGTTTTCCACATTTCCTACGAGTCCACTTTATTTTGCCCTTCTTTTCCAGGTCAGAAATGGAGAGGTTTCAGCTTCCCTCAGGCAGCAGCCTAGAGCAGAAGGAGCCAGCAGCCTTACCCTGCAGACCACCCTACCTGGCTGAGGAGCAGCAGGATCACCACTTGCCCACCAGTGGAGCTGGGACTGCTGAGAATGGTATCAAACCCAGTTCCCAACTGCTTTATTTCCTCACTGATTGCAAGATCAGCAGCAGCAGAACTAAACCACCAAATCACAAACCAAGCCTAATGAATCTTGAAATCCTAGACCTAGATAAAAGATTCTGTCTCAACTTTCTACTTCTCACTCCCCACATAATTTTCAGTTTAATAAAAGACTTATCACATAGAGCTCTGATTTTAAACTGCTTTTTTTCCATATGATTCACCTCACCGAAACTTTTTTCCTGGCCTAAAAGTATGAAAAATTAAATGTTTTCATTTCTTTGTATATAAAATCTCAAAACTTCAGCTAAAATAATTTCCAAGGAAACCATTTGCAGTTAATATTCTGTATAGTCACACTCCTTGGAAACATCCTGGCAGCTCCAGTAAGCCTGGAAAGGCCCAACCTGTTTAGCACATGTAGCAGTAACTACTGCCATAACATTGCATGCTTTGGCTTACCCTCAGTGATTTGTTTTATTTTGGACACATCTAGCTCAAAGACCACAAAAGCACTTCCCTGACAGTAACTCGAAGTTACAAAGCATCTTTACTGCAGACTGGAAATCTGTTTGTGGTGACAAAAGAATTAGATTTTAGGTGTGTTTTGAATGGAGCTGGCAAGTAGCTGCTTGGGAACATGAAAAATAGTGGCATGACATGTAAACACAATTAAGGCTGTAGCATGTTCTCCATGTGGTTAGACTTGGAAAGTAAACCTTTTACAAATGTTTTTATCAGATCACATACTTTGCCAGCTCAAAGGCAGTTTCCAGATTAAACCACATATTTCAAGTGCAAACAGCTTTTCAGCAAAAACTTTTCATGCAAATAAACTGTGGGGTTATAGAGTTAAAAACAGAGATAAGTGTTGCATCAAATAACAAAGGATTACTTAGGCAGAAAACTAACTCACAAATAAAAAAAAATGTGAACATTCAGGACTAAACCTAGATATACTAGGTAAATAAATCCACATGCAGAATGATTTTATATATACACACACTTCAATAAACATTCATTTCTTAGAGCAGAAGAACACTTGCACCAATGGAATTGAGTAAGATATTCTACATTAGCTGCTTTACAAATTAATGCCTAAACAGCACAATAATAAAGGGCTCTGTGATTTCACTGGCAGAATATTTTTTTAAATACCAGCTTAGCAGATTTTTTTTCCTAAAACTAGCTCTATGTTTAAAAGAGATATAGATGAAGTTTTGCTTTTCCTCTCTGGTTTCCAGCCCTGCTAATCATAGCCTGCCAGGGGGATGTAAAATCTCTGCTCTTCTGTACACATGTTCAGTTGGACCAGAGGACATTCCCTTGTCTGTGTGTGTCTCAAGAAAACCAAAAGGCATTACAAGTGTTTTGGGTATCTTAGCATGAAGCCCACCTGAGATTCAGCCTTTTTCTCTGTTTTTCAAAACCTGATCTGAGTGTCTGCTGTGCCAGCTGCTGCAATTAGTTCATTGGACTAAACATACCAGTTTGAAGCTCCTGAAGGGTCTATAGTAGTGTGTGATCAGCTCTCGTGGCTGCCACAACAGTTGTGCACTGATCGTCATCCTGTGCAACCCCTCTAGCACCAAAAGAAATGATGACAGAAAAAGTGCACTACTAAGGTATCACAGCTTGAAAGCAGGAAGTCTGGGTTTGCTGAGGCCATGCCCAGCCTCATGGAGGGAAAGCACATCTAATCAATGAGATCACACAGTGTAAAGATTGCCATGAACACACAGACATTCATTTGCTCATTAAAGAGCAGCACTGCATGAACCAAGCTTTGTTCCTACCTAGGCAATCAATTATTGAACACCAGAACCTATAAATTAGGCACACTGAATGCCACTGGAATGAAAATTGCCTTAGCAAACTTATGCCAAGTGTTAACCGGAACTAAAGAGTAAGGGCAGTAGCCAGGCCATTGTTCCTCTGGGGCTGCCCCAGCCAGGGAACCTGCAGCACACAGCACCTCCTGCTCCCTCCACTGTCCCTCCAACAGACACAGCCACAAATGAGGGTCCTCCCTGAGCTGCAGCACTCGTGTCCTTGAAGTGAGACAGAAAATCGTTCACCTGAGCATCTCTGCTGGGTGTCTCACCCCCTGGAGCCCTCCCTGCCTCTGCTGAAGGAGCTAAATGTGCACACTGCTTGTAACACTACCCAAGGTGAAATGTGTTTCAATATTAGAAGAAATAACAGCATTTGACTTGATCTCTGTTCGAATTCATTAAACCTGTTTAATTAACTGGCAGTGATGAAGGTGAATAATTATAAAATGTGAAATCACATTGACATTGGTTTAACCTGATGTCAGCTCAAAATACACATTCAAAACAAAGATGTGACCAGCACTCTTCATGTACTAAATGTACCAAAAGATACCCAGTATGTTACAGGTATCACAATAATTCTCTAATCCTCACACTTATCCAAGCAAATGCCTTATTGTGCCAAAAAGGAGTTAAGTACAATAGTTTTTATAGGATACAGCTAAAAAAAAAAGTACTGAAATGTTTCTATAATAGTACAGATATATTTAAATGTATTATAAACAGTCCATTTATAGTTTATTTGGCATGTGAGGAGACATTAGATTTAGGTAAAAAGGTGGAACAAAACATTAAATAAATAACTGTGGGTCTAACATTGCATTAAGATAGCAAGATCCCTGCCCCTACAAAACACAGTGAGGAAATAGAGAGCATTTATATCCTGTTTCTGCCCTCTGAATATGTGCTCAGCTGGTATAATAACTCTGCAATAACAATCTTACGTAGCATGATCCTCTCTTCCCTCTCAAAAAGTCTATATTCAATTGTATATGTGAACAGTAATTGCCCCCCCAAAAACCCACTGATTCTTCACACTAATTCTTACATTTTAGTTGCTTAATAAAAGAGTTGAGGTGAAATATCTACAAATTACCTGCAAGAGAGCATTAAAGCATTCAAAACTCTTAGAAACACAGATCTTTGCTGCAGCTGCCCTGTCTCAGCTTAAAGCCCCTTTCTGTGGGTGCTGCAGGATCCTGCCTGGTGTTTCACTAGGGTTTTTTAATCTCACCTCTTTCAGTCTCAGGGTTTAAACTGCCACAGCTGCAGCCCATCAGGGTTGTTGGCTTGTTGCTAAGGGGTTGTTGTTTCCCAGCAGAGGATCAGCTGTTCCGCTCCGTGGAGGGTCAGGCTGCCTCTGATGAGGAGGAGGAGAAGTGGGCAGGTGACCAACCACCCCAGCTGGACCACGTGAAGAAAATACTGGCCAAGCTCCCTTGCTGCGGTAGTGGGTAAGTTTAGTTAATTAATTTATGCCATTTAAGCCCTTTGCAAAGATAATTTCATGACCTGAAAGTACGATGGCTTCAGTGAGAAGCAGTAATGCCATATAGCAAAATCAGTAGGGCCCTTTGCCCATCCTTTACAGCTCCTGGGGAGCAACATGCTGGATATTCCCACCTAGCCTAATCAGTGTCTGCTAGGACACTCATTTTTGTTCTGCACTGCCATGAGTTCTGCAGAAAAAAAGTGGCTTTTAAAAACATAGACCTTCACTGCAAGGTTTCACTAACTTTTTAATGTACATACAGATGTGATGAAGAGATGTGGAAAAAGCTAATGTCTTACTTGGAGACCAGCAACTCTGATGGCTACGAGACTGCCCCTGTGGAGCTCTCAGAGAGAATCACCCAGCTAACAGAGCGGCTGGAGCTTAAAGGGCATGAAGTGAAAAAGCTGGGAACAAATATGGAAGAGGTAACAGCAGGTGCCAGCCAGAGTTTGAAACATTCGTTTGTGTATATTTAAGTAGCTACATCTATATACACATTGTATTTTGTTCTCTGTTGCTGATGTTTCTCATTATGCTGCTACTTTGTCAGCTCAAACTTCTCATGCTTTCCTGTAACACCCACATTTCTAGTCTGGTTCCTGCCTGAAACTGCATTTGTTTGGAGGAAACACAGGCTCTTCAAATACTGTCCTTGATTTCCATGGTTTAGTGTGTTCACTGACACTGTGTTTGGGACTGATAGCAATACAAACTGAGGAGCTGCACACTAACCATGGGGTTACTACAGCCAGCTGATTTCAGGGGTTCCTCAGCTGTGCATGAGGATATCCTAAGGCATCCAGATTCCCTGGGAGCACAATAACTTTTCAGTAAGTCCCTCTGACTGACTGAGATGCAGGAGTTGTTTTGGAATCCTTTGGAGTAAATCATCCAGTTTACTCTGGCTGTTTCTCAGGCTTAGATCAATATATTTAGAAATATAATTAGTTCTCAGACTTAGCAGCATGTTCAGCTTCCCTTCAGCAGAGGTTATAATCACAGTGGTTAGAAGTCCCAGTGCAGTATCCCAGCACTCCCATGTGAACTTTCTATTTAAGCACTGCAGACTTCAGCCAGTGATGGGCACAGACCTCAGTGCCAGCAATCTTTCTGTGAAACAAAGATAGTGCACCATATGCATTGCCTTGCTCTGCTTTCTCCTAAGCTTTGGTTAGTGCTTGTTCAGTACCTTATACCCCTTCTTTAAACAAGGCATGAAGCTTTCAGTAGTTCTGTCAGGATTCTATGAATCAGTAAAATATTTGAAGTAAAGGTAAAATACTCAATTCCTTTACATGATGCCATCCTTTGTGTTTCATCAGTATTTCATATAACTTTTGACCTTGACTAAATGAAAGAATTTACTTGTGAAGAAAAAAAAATTAAAATCAGAATAAAATCCTACTTGTGTCTTGCCCAATTTCCAGTATTCAATGACAGCTTACTCCTGCAAACTTCCTTCTATACTGCTTAACATCTGCCCACAGAAAAAAACTTCCTCTAGGTAGTGCCAGTTTTCTTTTTTTTCCCCCATCCATAGGTACTTATCTTCCTCTGCGTTATCATATTGCCCTCTTTTTCATCTCTGCTGATGGATATTAGTTCAGTGCACCTTGTTCAGAAAAGCACCAGAAAAATGGAATCTGTTGCTCTTGATTTAGAGTCAAGCAAGAAGTGAAGAAGACATAGTGCCAACTCACTGCAACATGAATTTAAAATCAGTGGGATTAATCATTTTGAACCTGTTAGAAATTTATTCTTAAACCATCTTACTTTTATTTAACCAGCATTTATATCTTGTGTGCAGTTATAGGGGAGGGGTTTGATGCTACAAAACAGACAGATCAGTAATAAGTAATTCCTTTCAAAAACAACTGCTCCTTTAATTGGCACAAAGCAAACTGGGAGGCTGGGAAATGCTCTCTCAACCTTGCAAATAAATATATTGGCCTAGTAAATAAACCACCAACACTTTCTCTGATGACATGACAAAACTACCTTATACATTTCACTATGTATTTCTGTTTGTATCTGCTCAGTGCTGAAAATTAGACAAATAGCAACAAAGCTAACAAGTAATAAACTCAGTGGGCAAGTGAAGAGCAGCACTCTCAAATACTGATTAATAATTGCTTCAGTCTAAGGCTTGTAAAACCAGGGGATGAGAGTTTTGAAATTTGTCATGTCTAGAAAGTTCTACTTTCCAACAACCAAACGTTTAAAAACAGTTTCTACTGAAGACAGAGTGGTGACCTGGGTAATAGATGGAGAAGACATGAGTGAATTCTAAAAATAAAGTGGTATGCTGCCAAGTGTAGTGTTGCAAAGAAATGCCAATTATTTCCTAGAAAAGCTTGCACATGAACTGTCAGCTTAATTAAAAAGACAATTAGTTTATGACCTGCCATACAGGGTCAAATGAGAAGTTCATGCCAATATCATGCACCTGCAGTTGCTTAGAGAAAAGCAATGAGAAACAGTACAGAGGATGTTCCTCTTGGTATTACTCACCTGGGTCCCAGGGCACTAGGGACAGACATGTCTTGCCCTGGGTGTCACATGGAGTGTGGTGTTTAATGGCCAGTATTGAAGCTATTTACCAGGGATTCACCTTGCCTTTCTTTACAGCTAGCAATGCTTTTGGTATCTCAGGGCAAGGACTCCCACATACTAGTTAGAAAGGAACAGGTTTTCACAATTTGTTTTTGTTAGCTTTAAATCTGCTGCCTGATGATCCAGCATCACTTTGGCTTTGTGCTTGGGAATCAGCATATCATCTTTCCTTATCATTGTACAGAATTTTACTACCAGAACTACTACCTCATTTATCACCATTTTAGTCTGCCTCTGCTCTCTTGGTATAGAAAACATTACTTACCTACTTGTGTTATTCTATTTTATTCTTCCATCTACTTTTCAAGCTCTATTACCCTTTTTGAATGAGAACTGGAAATGTGTTTAGTATTCAAATGCAAGCCCTTCATGGTATAATCATAGTTTCTGTTTTGTCCCCAATTCTTATCCTAACAGCTCCAAGCATGTACCCTTTGATCTCTGTTGGCTGCTAAGCTGTGTTCAGGAGGTTACAGCCCTTCTGGATCTCCTCCTTGAGCAGCAGTCATCATCACTGCATATGTACAACATGGTGTGCTTTTCCTACCTCCCTCATTTTACAGTACTGACACTGAATTTCATCTGATCTTCTGTTGCCCATAGCTATTCAATATTCATGAACTCCTGCTGGAATTCTTTACAGGCAGCTTTGGTTTTGATTTCCTCCCCCAAAGTTGTATTGGGAGCTAACTTAGGCACTTAGATGTTCACCTCTTATAAAAACCATTGATGAATGTGCTGAGCAGCTCAGGCCTTAGCCCAGCTCCTTGTGAGATATGAAACCTCTCTAATATGAAAACCTCCTTAACTTCTGTGGGAAACACAATGGAATTATTTTATCTTACATTCCTTAGGGGGGGATTTTTGCATATTAATTTCCCAAAAGGTGTTTGTACACACAACTGCAGAGCTCATATTTTCCCCATGGCATTTTCCCCCTTTTGTAAGAGGGCTGGATATCAGCAGCTGACTTCTCAAAGTTGGTGTTTGGCAAGGTAGTATTTCCACTTGACAAACAAGGCTCAGATCCCAAACCAGGCTTTGTTGAGGGAATTTGACAGAGCTAAGAATAAACCCACTCTTCTGAGCCCTGTGACTTAACTACTGGCCATCCAGGAGCTAGGATTTTCAAATGCTTATGTTTAATTACTGTCATTATCTTATTGCAAGTGTTCAGGTATCAACAGGTGATGTAATCTAGCCAGGGAGAATAATCTGGGAGAATGTTTTAATGGTACACTAAGCCACTGTTTTCAAGCATAATAAGAAGACAAAACATGCATACCCATAGGTGTGAATGAAACACAGGTGACAGGAAACTAGCAGCCTTGCAGGTGGCCAGGTGGAATTTGCTGTGGAAAGCCATTTACTAGCTGTAGCATAATGAACACAAGCAGAGAGGGCTTTGTAGGAGCAGTGGAAATGAAGAGGAAAAAGAGGCAGCAGTAGCAATAACAAATGCTAAGTCCAAATATCACTAGTGGCACTCAGCTAAGCATGTTGCCTGTGCTGTCCATACACATGAAGCAGGTGACACCAGACAACTATGGAGAGCTCTAATGGAATGCACACTGACAGGAAAAGCCTGTGCTTCTCCCATCCATGTCAGCATGGAACCCCCTGTCCAGGTCCAGCCAGTGGAGAACAGAGGACTGATTGCCTGTGCAGCTCTCCAACAACAGCAGCTTTGCCAGCAGGGCTAAGGCAGCAGCTGAGAAGTGATGATGGGGTGTAGGACCAGGAGAGGTGAGCATCTGTCTAATTGTATATTGGGAAAGTCTAGTCTACACTTTAAAATAGTGACCTTTTAATCTCTCTGTTACTTGGTATGACACTGCCTTGGCTGTGCAGAGGAACATGTCATTATAAAATCATAGAATAGAATCACAGAATCATTTAGGTTGGAAAAGCCCTCTGAGATCATCAAGTCCAACCATCCCTCAGCACTGCCAGGGCCATCACTAACCCATGTCCCCAAGTGCCACATCTACACATCTGTTAAGTCCCTTCAGGGTCAATGACTGCACCATTTCCCTGGGCAGCCTGTGCCAGGACTTGACAGCCCTTTCAGTGAAGAAATTTTCTTATATCCAATCTAAGCTTCCCCTGGTACAACCTGAGGCCCTTTCCTTGTTACTTGGACTAACCCCCAACTCACTACAACCTCCTTTCAGGTAGTTGTAGATAACTATGAGGTCTCTCCTGAGCCTCTTTTTCTCCAGGCTGAGCCTCCCCAGATCCCTCAACTGCTCCTTATAAGACTTGTGCTCCAGCCCCTTCCCTGGTGTGGGATTTGCAGCACAGAGACAATTTGCAATAGCATAAAGGAAACCACACACTTAATTCATTGCAGACCTCCCACAGCCTCTAGAGTGGTTGAAGGTCTGTGTGGGACTGCTGCCACATGGATGGTAACAAAGCTGGCTCTCCATGCAGGAAAACATTAGTGTTCTCATCTAAAAGGGGTGCACAGACAGGGATGCTGAAATCATTGCTTGGCAGATGGACCAGATTAAGTGATCCAAACTTCTGTAGCTGTTGTATAGCTCAGAGGAGCTGGAGTGCCTCACAGGGCACAGAGAGCTCACAGAGAGCTAATGGAACAGTCTGATTTCCATCTGATCAGGGAATAAGTGCCAACTAACATACACTATTAGCAATGTCAGGGACTAAAATGACCTTCTAGAAGGCTCAGTGTGAATCAGGGATAGTTTTTCTTTTTTTTTGCTCTGATGACACTCATGTTTTAGGGAGCACTAAAAGGATGTTCCTTGCTATCTATTAAAATTCATTAGGATACAAATTTACACACACACACACAAATCTATTCTCTCCTTAGTTATCTCTAAAACTTCAAGGAAGATAAAAGATGACAACAAAAATGGATTATCAGAGCCAGCAAATTTGGCATTTACCTTACATGATTTTGTTTCTCAGGGTAGTAATAATAAATCTATTTAGATTGTGTTTGCAACAAGAAACTTCATAAAATATCTCAGAATCCTGAGCACAGTAATGACTGGTAAGTTTACTTTTTATTACTAAACCTGAAACCTGTCTGTGCTCTCAACAGTTCAAAACTAATATTTAAGTGACATATTTTCCAGAGAATGCTTTTCAGGCTCTTTTCAGCAACTTGGCCCGGGTCTGTGACAAACATGTTTACTTTTGCAAGTGGTGTGACAGCTTTGTAGTTCAAAATACGTCACTTAGGTTTTCCATTGAAAACAAAAAGCAGCATTTCAAATCCTGAACATTTTTCCAGAGGGAGGTCTGAGGCAACTGACAGGTCAGGTCAGCTTTGGAAGGTCCAGATCCAGGTCTGAGGGCAGAATCTCTCCTGCTCAGGATTTCTGAAGTGTGCAAAAGTTGTTGAATCTGGACTTTTCTTTGCTTAGCTGCAAACGAACACTTGACCAAGCACATGTGCCAGTGCTTAGCAGAGACAGAATGTTAATTTTTCTTCTTAAGAAACTTTTTGCTTCTTTTACCAGCATACTTTAAAGAGATTAGCTAATTACCTTCTTGCTTCACTGAATGTTCAGATGATTGCTATGTAGAAGTAGAAAGGTAAAGATATCATTACATTGCTGAGGGCACACAAATTAGTTATGCTTTCTAGAGGACAACAGGAATGCAAATGGTTAGAAAACTGAAATAGCAATGGTAGTATTTAAAATTTGTGAATGATCTGCCTGCATCCAGGTTTGAATGAACTGCCATTATGCACAAGTGCAAAGCATGCATGTCCTAGCAACTAGGGATGCATTGCTCTATGCAGGGCATTAAAGAAATGCACTTCCTTCCGAGATACTCTTCTGGAGTGAACTGCCTTTTACCACATAATGGAGAAAACTTGGCTTTGTAATTATTGTGCAAGAAAGGCAAAGCTCTAGTGCTTTTAATTTCCTGTGTTGTTGTCCAGATGAAAGGCCCATTGCTAGGTGAACTGCAGCAAAAGGTGGAGGAGACCGAACTGCTGAAGATGGAGCTGCAGATGTTGGAGACAGAGAGAGTTAGGCTGTCACTGGTGGAAGAAAAGCTCATGGATGTTTTACAGCTTCTTCAACAACTCCGAGACTTGGTATGGCAAGAAAGCAGTCCTGAGACTTCAACCTGGTTTCTATACTCTCCTTTCCAAACTAAAAAGTATGCTCTTCCTTTTATTAAGTACAAAATCCTTTACACCAGGACACGTTTTGACATGTATTTGCCCTGGGAACTGCCTGGTGATTGCAGAAAGATTTTAGACCCCATGGCTGACTCTCTAAAAGATTTCCTTGGAGCTAAATCTCCAAGCTTGCTATCCTCTAAACAAAAGCTTAGAGGAAAGAAGGAAAACAACAAAGTAAGTAATTGGAAATATTCTAGAGGACTTATTTTTCCTTTTAGACCAGGACCTTGTTTAACTGCATCCTAACGTAAAGAGTCAGTATTAAAGGGATAAAACACCTTCCTATATACAAATAAGGGTTTGGGGTTTTTGTAAGAAGTTTCTTACCCATGTAATAATCCAAACATGAACTTAATAAAACTGATGTACATGGCCAGTAGGGCAATTCAGTCCTTTAGAACAGAAGTTTAAATGTCCTAGTTGGGACTGATAATGGTAAAGGTTGGCCAAAAGTCAGACAAACTGGATAATCTGCAGGGCATGGAGTACATTGGGAGCAACACTGGACCACTAGGAACTAATTTCCTTGATGATCAATTTTCAGCAGAGCTCTGCCCAATCTGTATGAGATGTGAATGCTTCCTCAGACGACCACTTTATTGTCTATGAAGTACATGTTCCACTGACAACTCTAGGGAACAAGTGCAATATCTCATAATTTTGTCACTTATTTTAGCACTTGACATGGAAATTCTGCTCTCATATTGCAGGTCTGACACATGCATCAGTAACAATCTAGTGAAGGATTAAACTAGTAAACACTATGACTGGCAACAAGCATAATAAGCCTTTGTGTCAGGAGTTCCAACATGTCATGTCATTCACTGGTCAGGTGTATTATTGCAACTCATCTCTGCTCAGGAGACACTCCATCACACAATGTGCCACACCTCAGTGATAATAGCATTTAATGCTAAGCACTGCTGGAAATGTGCCACTGCATGCTGCCAGTTTCCACAGCACCCACACAGGATGATGCTGTCAGCCACCAAGATCATTCACAGCATTCCCATGCAGTTGAGCAAGAATCCCCTGAGTCCCTGACGGGATATACTTCAGACAAAAGAAAGCTTATCCATCAGAAACTGTGGTTTTAGGTGTTACTTCCCCAACATACTTACCTTCATGTTTTAAATATCCCAAGCACCTCATTTGCAGTAGAATTCACCACCAAGCAATGACTGTCCAAAGGCACATGCATGTCCTGTTAGGACTATTATAACCTCACAGTGTGCTGCAGAAATCATGTGTAATCCCAGCCTGACACAAACTGCTTTCCACTCTGCCCCAGTCCCCACTGGGGCAGCCAGATGGTAAAGGACCAGCACTGCCTGGGCTGCAGGAGGTGCAGCATCTCTCTCCCAGAATTGCTTCCATCCATTTTCACTTCTTGAAGTCTTAACAAGAACAACCTGTCCCTGCAGATCCAGGCTCTCTGACTGCTAATTAAACTGATTGCAAGACCATCTCCCAGGAAGCATACATTAGTGTCTTGACAGAAAATTAAGAGAGTTTGTTTTTCCAGGCACATTATGTAATGTCTCAACAGATTTCTTATGTAAAACTACCACTGAAAAAGACCAGCCAAATCCTAAGTAGTTTCTACAATGCTCTCACTTTGGCTAGTGTTCATCACATCTCAAGATGCAGCAGTGGCTCTGCCACATGACATACACAATCTCTCTTCAGCTGGGTCCAAGAAGGTCCTTTCTGACATTGCACCACCACCACAGGCCTAGCAGAGGACTCCACAAGCTTCTGCTGTACATGCCCTGCCTACACTCCTTGCCATCTAGATTTGTTTAGGCACACACTCTGGAAAATTGTGGTTTCCACTGAATAATTGTTTGTTCTCTTTCTACAGCCATACTGAGGAACTGCAGCCCTCCACAGGCTGGTATTATTTGAGCAGTTTCTAAGATAAAATTCTTGAAAATAGAGCAAATATCAAGTCTTGTGTTACTCAGGATTCAGTTTCCTTTTGGTTTACTTTTCAAATGTGAATACACCGCACGTAGGTTTTGTTGCATACATGTAAACCAGTGAAGGACATATTTATGCCATAACATTACTTTGTTTTTTTAAAGAACATATCTAAACGAGCCTTGGGGAAAATCTTGCTGAGCACTTTGGAATCCTGCCGTGACCCCCAGCCTGGTAAGAAAATAAATCACATATAAAGAAGCATGAAAAGTGTCCTTTTTTGACAAACACTAGATAATACACAGCTGACTAGGGAAAAGATATTTCAAATACTGGGGTACAGGCTAGGAAGAAGGAAGTACTATGAAAGAAGATTATCTATAGAAAGTGATGCTTTCTAGTCTGTGACACAACAGAAACACAACCAGGGTGCTTTTTTTAGCCAGATTTTAATTAGAATTTGGCCTTAGGGGAGCAATTCACTATCTACAAATGTTTGTAGGCCTCCATTGATATGAGAAAGTGGAAAATGTATGTAAGGCAGCTATTTGTCTGGTTTTATTCCTCTGCTGCCACACAAACAAAATGTACAAATCAGAACAGTTCTGTACAGAAACCAGATCAAACTGCACTCCTCTAATAATAGCCTTTTGTGTTCCTCATATGAAAATTAAACTTGCAAACTCCTCTCCCTTGACAATGGCCTGGTGTGCCAGAGCTGCCTTTGCAGGAACTATGCAGGGATCTCAGCCCTAAGGTTTAGGTTTGATTACTTTGCTCCTATTAGCAGAGCATTTGTACTTACCTTCAAGAAATGAACATCTTGTGCAGAACATGGCTTGGAGGTGCTTTTAATAGGCAGGCAGTACTCAAAGACAAGGTTATAAAAGACTGTGTGTGGCCAGGGGGGTTAGTTTTGGAGAATATTATTTACAGTGACTTATGGAGAATAGCATGCAAACCCTTCTGGGTTTTGTAGTTTCAAAGCTGTGTTGGTACTCGTGCCCAGAGCTAAGCTGTGCTGTTCCAGCATGGCTGCAGAGGAAGCAAAGATAGACCTTAGCAGGCACCAGGACACAACACAAAAAGAAACCATCCTTGAGCCATAGGTCTGATGTTCTCCAGGTGAGAACAGAAGAGGAGGCTGTTAATATTCACACCACACAAGTGTCCAGAAGGTACTACTACTTACCCTGCAGAGGAACATGGACCCCAAATGATGCTGCTGAAACAAAGTACCTCCCCCTGTAACTGAACTGCAGCACAGCTCAGCTCCCTCAAACTCCAACATGTGAAGTAACTTTGCTCAGCTCTGTCCACTCTGCATCATCACTGCCACGAACAACTCACCTCCTCTGCTTTCCAGTGTTGGGCTGTGCACTTGATAGGGCTTAAGCAGCTTTCCTAAGCCTTTGCAGTCAAACATCTTCCTGTTTGACATGACTAAGTGGTTGGTTCTATTGGCAAATCTTAATTGTGACATGAAACAGTCTTTGTTCACACCAGTGTGTGAGACCTCAGTGGGCAGTGAATGAAGCAAGAGAACTAGTAGAGAAAAGAGTCGAACCCAGTTTCACTCACATTTTTTTATGGACAGGAATTCATCATTTGGTCACAAAATTTAGACATTTTATGGTAATGACTTGAAATGGTACCTATGAAGAAAAGAGCTCATTATGATTGTGAAACTGCAACTTTCTGTCTTTGTTCAAATTATAATGTTTTCAATTTTCTTTTAAAAGGCAAAGCCCACCTGTTTGAAGTTCTAGATACTCTGTACCAGGAGCTGACAGCCTGTGAACTCTTGCACAGCCAACCCCTGGAGCAGGCACAGAGCCCCCAGTCCCTGTCCAACCCACTGATCATCTCGTGCTGAGCAGCAGTGCCAGCGACACCTGCACAACCAGCCGAGCAGCACATGGTCACTCACACGTGAGGGATGATGACATCTGTCCAACTCAACCATCCTCAGACTGGCCAAGAATGATAGACTAACCCAGCCATGCAATCCCAGGAGTGCTGCTGCTGGGAAGAGCACCAGTTCCTCAGCTGATGTCACGGCCCTCCCGTGAACAAGCGCACGACACGAGGGAACGCAGCAGTGCCTGTCTCTGGTGGAAGCCTCACCACCCCTGGATGGTGGCTCTGTGACTCTACTGCTTACCCAAATAAAACTGTTCCAAACACACTGGCCTGACCTGTTGAGATTTACAGCCCTGATTACACAGGGGTAGGCAGAGTTCCTAGCTGCTGTGATAGCCCACTCCAAAGCCAAAGGCAGCCTGTGTTAGCCCTGGCAAGCAAACAACTTCCTTAACGTACAAGTGACAAACTGACTGTGTTACAGACAAACACAGGAGTGTGTGGCAGTAGTGCAACTTTTAAGGGCTCATGTATAAAATGCATTTGTTTGTATTTCTGGTTAATTATTTGCCTTATTTAACCCTGAAGTCTATAAAATGTATTTGTTTGTATTTCTGGTTCAATTATTTGCCTTATTTAACCCTGAAGTTAGATTTGTTACTGCTCTGCTGATTTTTATCCTTGCAATTATAGAGATGCCTTAAAAATCTGCAACAGTCTTTCCTGACAGCGGTCAGATTTTGCAAAAAAAACTTAAATTTAACTGCTTGAAAAAGGTCCAAAGCAATCTTGTTCCCAGGCTCTCAGGGAAAGGGTTGAAAAATTCACTTTGCAACAGCTGCTATTCTTACATTAGCCAACGAGATGGGCAGTACACAATTTAGTTCTCTGATTTAATTTCCCTCCATGCAACTGCAGAGACACAAATGTAGACCCCACATGCAGACAAGTCAGTGTAAAAAGCTGGGCCTGGTCATGGTGCCACATAATATTTTAATCAGCAGTAAAATAATTCCTGGGGGCAAAAGCACAAAAATAGATTGCTTCCAAGATGCTCTTGCTGTTTCATTCAGCTGTCAAACACAGAAACTAAAGGAACAGAGTTCCTAAATGATCCAACTGAATATGTTATGACGAAGATGCACTGGAGATCTTTTAAGAATGTGAAATTATTTGCCTGAGATAATATCCAGCAATGAAATAAGACCATTCAACTGTGCATGTATGAATTTGTCCCATGAAAATGGTTTCACATAGGAAGAAGGTTCACAGTGCAGTCTGGGGAATAAGAAGATTTCTAGAGATACTAGAGAAACCACCCACTAATATGCCACAGATAAAAACTAAGTGAGCAGAAGTTAGGTCCCTGCTAGGGTGCATTTTCTAAAACACCAAGAAGTATCAGCTGATGTTTCGTGTAGCTCTCTTAACTTTCCCAGGAATATTATATATGCCTAAAGAGAGAAAATGCCAAGAAATCATTAAATAAGCATGATCTGTGTGTGCAGTTCACAGATGAGACACTTCAGGGGCAAGATTATAATGCAAGTACATACCTGACTGTGGATACTCATGTGCTGCAGGATTCTTTCACCATTTGAATGTGTATTATTTACTGCATCCACTCTATATATAAATGTGCATTTGTATTATATATACTTATGCACACCTTAATATTGCTGTGCTAATTGTATACTTGTAGTATCTTTTTCACCACTGGGTTTCCACTCTACTTTCTAATACATTTCTACAAATCTAGAATATTAAGCAAACTAATGTCCCAGTGCCAAACTGGGGGAGGAGCAATATAAGCTTAGCCAAGCACTTCAACTGTAACTGCAAACTAGAAAATGTCACTGGAAACCTAAGCTGGTGTTAAGGAAGATGAAAACAGTTGAGACAAAAGGAATTTTTTGTGAATAAATAAACAGCATTTCACTGATGAAAGAAGCACTGAAATCATCTTGCTAACTTAGCTTCAAATACTGTAACATTGTTATTTCTTTAAGAAATGCCCATGTCAGAATAACTTTTGATACATCAGCATAAGCTGATTAACTTTTTAATAATAAAAGTGGATTATTTTAACTCCAAAAAGTAATTAACATGGAGCAAGTCAGACTTGCAGTATTTCCATAAGAAGAATTGGTTCCTCAGGATGGATCTCAAAAGATTCCTTAGCCGAATTCTGCCTGGAAATCAGAGGTAATGCAGAGCACTGTGCTTTGAAGGACCTTAAAACTGTTTTTTTTCTTAAATACTTTTACCCTTATGTTTTATACTGAGCCTGTTGGCAGTGTTGCTGAGGCTGCTAAGTATTTCACTGTGTAAATGTGTGATTTTAAATCAATGTGATTGAGAAATGTGAAGCAGGTAGGGCTTCCACTGATTTACTGTGGCACATGTTCAAAAGAGTCTGCACACAAATCCTGGGAAGCAACCCCAGATGTCTAGGTTTTCTTAAAGACCTGCCTCATTAAGTAAGGTGATTACTGCAGATTTCAGCTACCTTTTTATTTTCTCCCTTTGCTTTTTTTGAGTATTGGAATTGTTCCCAGATAAACAGCAAGTGAAATATCTAATCTCTCATTAATATCTCATTAATAGCTTCACCACATTTCAAACAATAATGTAGGAACAGTTACTACCCACACCAACCAACTCTTCCTCTGAACAACTGGGGCAGTCCTCACAGCAACATACTTTGCAACTGCTCACCTAGCACATACAAGGTGGTAGATTTGCACAAACTGGTGCTTCACATTACGAGGAACATCTGCCCAGTATAAACTGGTTTTGTAGAAAAAAATCCCTATGTGGCAAAACCTGAAAAGATAAAGCACGCTCAAACCCTTCCATTGAAAAAGTACAACCACAAATCCAGTGTGCCAAACCTCTGCAACATTTTGGTTTGTTGTATATTTACCAAATGGTAACAAATGGCCATTTTCTTGCATCTTGACTTCTCAGAAAAAAAAAGTGCATGAGCTATAAACATAGCAAGTGCAAAGAATTTGCCCATCTAAAATGATGCAGAAGCAGCCCAAGGCCATCAGAGAGTGCCTTCCCAATATTTCTGTGTTCA